TGGGGAGTAACAGGGAATTTGTCCACAGGTAAGGGTTTTGTTTGGCTGTGACCTAACATTCGTACTGCATACAAAATGTGTAAAACAGAGGTATGGTTCAACTTCAGTATTTGCATGCAGATGATGAGGCAGTTGTTAAACACATACCATTTGATGCAAAGTGAAGGAAAAGCAACAACTTGTGATCAACTGTAATTGTGATTAATGTGATTTCCATTTCCTTTGAAAACAAACGTTTGACATGTTGGGGAATAAGCTTAATCGGTTTCTGTCAGAGAGTTAGATGAGAAGATCAATAGCACTCTCATATCTGACCGTTAAATACAAAGCTACATCCAGCAACCAGTTAGCTTAGCTTAGCTTAGCATCAAGACCTGAAACAGGGGCTCTGCCAAAAGGGTAAAAAAAATCTACCTACCAGCATCTCAGCTCACTAATTAACTCGTTATTTGTTTGACCCGTACAAACACCAAAGTGCAAAATGCGTTTGGGCTATTTCTTGGCTCTAAGCAGTTGCCAGGCAACCAACAGAGACTCCAGAAAGTGACCGGATGGATTAAACAAACAAGATATAATGTGTTAATTAGTGAGCTTTAGAGATGCTCATAGTTAGGCCTATATAACAGAGCCAGGCTAGCTGTTTCCCTCTGTTCCCAGTCTTTGTGCTAAGCTAAGCTAAATATAATACATACATGACAGTGGCATCAATCTTCTCATCTAACTAGTGTATTTCCTAAAATGTTGAACTATTCATTTATATTATAGCTGGAACCCCCTTTATGAGATGCTGATACATTTTTAATTTCCTGAATATAAATAGAGCAATAAAACTTTATCCTGTACCTTGCAACAGAGTGGACTGATAACGAAATTCTAATTTCTTAACAGAGGAAGACATTATAGCAAATATGCAGCTCATCTTAACAAAAAAAAGGTACCGGGGGAAACAGATTGATTAAATGATAATCATTTGGAAAGGGCACTTATGAGTGGGGAAGTCAGGTTTCTTGAGGCCAGAATATTTGACACTCTGTTGCAGAGAGGAAAATGTCTTGGTTTTACATTCCAGCGGTCAGGATGAAAGTGAGCAACTGTCCAGAACGAAGGCCCAATGAAGCGCCTTGGGTCATAGCTTGTGCCAGACAGCTTCGACTTTATGTGTGCCTGTAAAGATGTTACTGACTCAGAATGGAGCTGCAGCCCTAAAACTAAACTAAAATGTTTGTATTAAGCTGCAGTTTGGCCACACACCGAAAGAAAAAAAATAGGCACAATAAACCTGAACCTGGTTTTTAAAGGATTCTCCATCTACAGTATAATGAAGCCTCATTTTGGGAAGTGAAAGCACTTCTTGCCTGCTAAGTGCAATCATTAATATCCAGTCTAAAATCACTCATCACAGTCATACACATTCACTTGTCCTCACAACACACCCACAGATCAAAGTCGTTTTCATGATTCATACTGCGTTGCTCTTGGACAGAATTGTTATCAAGTGTTTTCACCACTCAAGTAATGCCAAGATACTAATCTCTCTGCTCTCTCGGCTGCTCTGTAACAACATGTACAGTGGTATTGGAGCACCACTTGTCAGGCAGATGCTTTTCTGAGAGTGTCTGCTGAGTGGTAAAGTGAAGCTGGATTGATCCCCTCCACCCACTCATCAGCAAGTGACCAAGGGCTACCCTGAGGCTCAAGCTGCCTCAGAGACTCTGATCATAAAGAGAACACAACTATCTGCCATCTGCAGAGACAGAAGAGACAGACTGAGACGAGCGCTTATCAAATACGAAAGAGTATTTTCTTGTTATAGGAAAAAGGCATTTACAGGTTAGGAGCTCATCTGCTTTAAGTGAGATAACATAGTGAGAAGTAACACATAGGAGAAATTAAGGGTGACAGTTTGGTCAATAAGTGAACCGCAATGTCCTGATTCGCAAGGTCCTTAACTTCTCAAAGTCACAGAACATCCCGATGAGGACAGAAGAAGTCTTTTTGCTAGCTGACCTAAATACATCTTCCATTCGCCGGGCATTAAAAATTACTTTGCCAAGAATTGTGCTCCCATACCTTGGCAGACAAATAGGGACTTTTTCGTCTGCTTGTTTTAAGGCACATCCAGTCTCTGAGGGGATAAGTGTAACAGCTCAACAAACACCACTGCACGAGTTTGTCGGGACTCAGGAGCAGAACGCAGAAACCACACAGCCCGAGAAACGAGAGCGAAGGTGATGAAAGAGGATCGGCAAAGTGGTGTCAAAATGTTAAAGCCAGATGACTGGCCATGCTCATAGAAGACAGCGCCACAGTCTCTGTCCGCCTGTCTTTTTTCACCCCCCCTCCTTCTTCTTCCTGCTAAACAGAAATGTTCGGAGAAGTTCAAGGCCAAAGGGGTAGGCAGAAATAAAAGCCCCATTTAAACAGTTCTTTTATGTGGCTTCACATGCAGTTTCAAATAACTGTCCGAATTACCACAGACACATCCCATACGCTCTCCCGCTGTCCAAATTACATGTATGCACACACGTACGCTTACACTTGCATGCTTTTAGAGACATTCAACACATCCAGCCGTCTATCAAGTAACAAAAGTGGGCTGGACAGGACTGGAGAGAAGGGGACAGAGGAGAGCTGTGCACATCTTTTTTGTTGCAAAAATATAAATAGCACATGGGCTGACAGCAGGCTTTCTGACACGGTGGGTGTAATGCAGTCGTTGCTTATGGCTGACAGAGAAAAAGCACAGCTACTTCATTAAGTGCAAAGGAAAGGAAGCGAGGACAAAGCAAACAAAGCAAGAGTTGGGTGAAAAAGAAAAAGGAAAGGGCGGTGGTGGAAGGAGTGTTGGGGGTGGGCGGGTGGCGGTGGTGAGGGGGGGAGGGATTTCTTCTTCCTTTCCATCTCAGCTCATAGCAGAGACTCAGGCAGCATCTCTAGGTAAGCCTCCCCATCACTTGGGCCTCATATTGCCAAGGCTGTTCGGTTCCCACACTGTGTCTGGGCCTGGATCTGGCCTTCCTCCCCGCTCAAGCAGCCCTGCGTCTTTAGACCCCCAGGCCCCGGAGCAGAGGTTACACCAACATAGCCAGCCACAGCAGCATGTCAGCCCCACACCAACCGTTGCCTTGGTGCAGCTGCATTAACGAAGAGCTCCTGACTCTGCAAGGGGAAAGTGATTTGCCATGACGTGTATGGCTCCCCTCTTTCCTTTCCTTCTCTTTTCCTTGCTTGTTGCTGATCGCTCACTAAGAAACCTCCTCTCTCACTGTCTGTCTCTGCACCCTTAATCTCTCCTGTTTCCCCCGGTCTCATTTTTCCCTTCTTTGTCATTCTCTCCACCACATCCTCAAATCTTCCCTCCCTCATTCCACTGCTCTTTTGCTCTTTTTTCTTCCTGGAGTAATGACTGATGCCTGAAACACAGTGCCGTGATTAGACTGACACTGATGAAAGACGAAGACTTCTTGACGGCAACATCTGCGTTGAATAAATATTGAGCTGACAAATTGTGCTTCTTTTTTTGTTGTTGTTCATCTCTCTGTTTCTCTAGTTCTCAAAATTGTTCCCAGCATGCAGACTTGCCAGTGCCACGGAGTTGCCACCGACATCAAACACAATATTTATTTTCAGTTAGGCACAAAATATGCTCACAAATATCTTCAGAGCCAAACACAGATAATATGTCACTGCAGAGCTGCTTGCCTTGCACTGACAAACAGGAACCGGAGGAGAAGCCTGTCAAGTGGTCGTCCACGGCGTTTCACTTTGTGACCGACAAACAGGTGCATGCCATTACAGACCGACACCCATACAGCAGCATTCCACACTACAAGGAAGTGTGTAATCGATGTTGTGGAAAATAAAGTGAGAAAAAAGTAGTTCTAATTGCAAAATGTAAATATTGAGTTTTCCCACAAGTGGGGGCAGACCACCCAGGATGCAAAATAGTCACCCACCCCCTTTCTCCTTTTTGCCTTGTCGACCGCCTGAGAGATGTCTTTTTGTGTGCGAAACATCACCAACCACAATCAACACTCACACAGAAACCATGATGTGTCTTTGCATGCAAATACTTCTGGCAGCTCTGGCTTGGCCTTTGTATTGTGGGAAATTTAAGTGATGAAAACCTGGAGGGAGAAGGCTGAGTGGATCAGAAATCAAGTGTATAACGCTGTGTCTTTCTCGCTCCTGTAAAGGTGCCAGAGTTTTTGATTCAGTCTGCCCTTGTCTGGTCTGAATAATTTCTCACAAAACAAGAGAGCAAGAGGGCAGCCAGCTGGGCAGCATGGTACTGTAGCTGCAGTGTCTGACAGACAAGAGACTCCCTCCGTGTGTGTGTGTTACAGGCCGGTGTCAAATACTTGTCTGGACTGTGACAAATATCTCCTGGTAGTCTCACTACAATTACCTGCAGGATTAGCTATATAACATAACTGTTCACACTGCTGATGCTGTTTGAAGATCAAAGACACATGGTTTTTTTCTAACAACAGAAAACTCACAGTGAAACTTAATTTGAGCCTCATTCTTCCTCCTCTCTTCAAGTCTGTATAAATGAAAGCAACCGAGCTTACGGACACAACAAAAAAGCAATTAAGTGATTGCAAAAAATTTGTGAGTCAACAGAAGGAGCCTGCTGGAGTAACTGATGCAACAAACTCTCTAAAAACTCCACTTTTAGCCTCTACATTTCAAAATACTCTGCTTTTAAAGTTCCATTTATTTAGACAAGTGTCATTATTACCAGCTTTCTAAAAGCATCTTTTAAAAAAATCTATGGATTAGGCACCAAGCAGTCTGGCAAAAAACAGCACATTCCCAGCCATCAGGAGTAAAATGCAAAAAAAAAAAAAA